ATTCTTCACCAATATTGCTCGTCCCTTCACCGCCCCCCTGTCAAGCACATACCCCTTACATTAATAAAATTAAATAAAAAAGGCAACTCTTTATTACATGTTAATTTTAAAGAGAACATTAATATTTTTAACTTTAAGATAAAACTATTTAACGTTGAGGGCAATTAGATGCTGTATGAGCCATTGAGACTTGGATGGCCAACTGTCCTAGCAGTCTCAGGCTGAAGAATTCTCCCCTCCCACCTCTCTGTGCCCTACCTCCATGGTCTGTGCTTGGTGCATTGCCTTGATAGCTGTCTGTGCCATGGCTCTTGTTGTAAAAGTCACAAATGCACAACCTGATAAGAGAAGAGTCAATAACCCATTCATTCAATTGCTTATTTATCTGACACACATTTACTGAACACCTATTACACGACAACTATCATGCTAGAGTTCCAAATACAGTCCTCATCTTTCAGGGGTTTGTCAATTGGTAGAAGCGACAAAATACTAAGTGTGATAATGTTACAACAGGGTGATAAGTGACATAATGAGAAACCAGGAACCAACAGACAGGAAAGTAGTAAGCATATCCTCTCGTTTCCTCTTGAAAATAAAATGGGGGAAGGAAATATTTCCATTTTGGCATCAAGAACCTCTTGATGCACAAAGAGAAAATTTTAATACACAACACTGGAGAACAGAATGTAGATAGACTGTGTTGGGGCTGAGAGGAGGGACCAACTGCTACGAGGAGCCATGATGAGACCTAGACGTGGATAAGGAAGCACAAAGCGTCCCTCACTGTGACAGAGCTGTGTTGGCTAGGCAGTCACTGGTTCCCACTGGTCTAATCCAAGAGACTCCAGATTTAACACAAGTATCTTTACAAGCTGAAAATGTACCACCTCGGCTCAGGCCATCAGGTCCCCGCAATATCCGGCACTCTTCAATCTGTCCAAATGAAGAGAACATGACTCGGATGTCATTTTCAGTGCACTTCTTGGAAATCATACCAATAAACAGCTTCCTGTCTTCCACTGCTAAGAGAGTAAAACACAAAAGGCTTGAACATTATTACTAACAGAGGCAATGTAGCCAGACTACCTGGGTGTGATTCCCAGCTCTGTCATATATCAATATTATCATGTCAAGGATTCTAAGATGGTTCTCCCGCCCCCCTGCCCCAATTTTACATCTCCTTGGACTAGCCTATAGCCTGCTGGATAAGGCAACTAGATCCCACAAGGTCTACCATTCGGTTCTAGTCTCGGACCCAGCAGCTTGAGAAACACTCCTGTGTATGCACGCTCCAAATCCCAAGGAGAAACTGACTATGGTATGACCATGCCCAATAGGGGGTGCTTTGCTGCTTTCCATCTCTCTGTCTCTGAAGAATGCACATGTCTGCTGGCTAATGTAATAATAGTAATAATTTTACATCTCCTCTTGAAACCAGTGGTATCTTAAAGTTATAATGGGAAGGCTGGCCTTGTAGCCTAGTGGTTAAGGGAGCCAGATCCCACATGGTATGCATGTACACAAGATGCCCCAAATCCTGACAGGACAGATAAATGGAAGACGAGACTGCGGCATGACCGTGCCCTGTTGGGAGGGTGCTTTCTCCTCCTCTCTGGCAAGCTGATGTGCCCTCTGGCAATTTTTAAAATAATTATAATCAGAAGCATTTGGTTGAAATATGGTAGCTTTGGGAACCAGCAGTCAGCGTAATGGTTATGTTGCTGGACTCCCACGTAGTCGACCGTGGTTCGCGTCCTGGACCTGGTGGCTTGAAACTCACGCCGGGCATGTGTGCATGCATGCCCAAGATCCCGAGAGGAGAATGGAGGAGAAGGGATTGTGGCATGACCATCCCCTCTGGGGGGTGATTTCTCGCTTTCTGTCTCTATGTCTCTCTCTGTCTGTCTGGCGAGCGCACGCGCCCTATAGCGAAAAACCTCTCCAAAAAAAAAAAAAGAAAAAAAGAAATATGGTAGCTTTGTAATCTGTGAAGTTATATATCCATCCTGTGCCTGTTTCCTCATTTGATTAATCTCTCAGGTTTACTTCAAAGGTATTAAGTGCTCAGCATCTTGTCCCATATTTAGTCTGCCGTGACTAGCAAGTAACACTACAACTTATTTAATGTAACAAGAATAGAAAATTCCTTTGAGTGAGTGTGACTGTCTCCTCTCCCTTTTTCTTGAGGACAAAGTCCTTCCTAACTTACTCATTTCCCCCTTTACTTTCTGCCCATAAAAAACTGCATTGATCCAGAACATTCTAACTCATTCTAAAATGTTCTTATATTGTTTCCTTATCCACTCTGTTTTTCTTTTCCATCACATTTTATAGGAAAAAAAAAAAAGACAATTTATCAACAGATGACAGATTACTTACAATTAATCCATATATAAAAACAGCTAACCAACTATGAAGAAATCTTACAAAGGGAGGACTTTATACACTTGCTTACCATTGTTCTTCTCACTGTCAGCAGGTTTCATCTGTATAGGATGATGCATCTGATAGGGAAAACGTATGTGTATTAGCATCATACACTTGGATGACATTCAGAAATATAAATAACTGGCCGGCTCTGTGACCTAGTGACAAAGTGGGCCAAGATCCCACATGGCCAAATAATACACGGTTTGAATCCAACTCTGGTGGCTTGAAAAACATGCCAGGTACATGTGCATGTGTGCCCCAAACCCCTACAGGCTAGAAATGGAGAAGGTTTTGTGGTGTGATCGTAAGCCATTCTCCTCTGTTGAGTGCATGCGTCCTCTAGCAAAAAAATTTAAAAAAAAAAAATAGTGATAAAAGAATACAAATGAGAACTGTAAAAGAAATACCAAAACTATAGCCATAAAGTGTTCTCTCTGGGGCCAGCAGGTGGCATGGAGATTAAGGTGCTGGATTCCACATGGTTAGCTTTGTGGTTTAAGTCCCAGACCAGCAACCTGGAGAATCGCAATGAGCATGTGTGCCCCAAATCCTCAGAGAAAAAACTTAATAAAACAAAACAAAACAAACTCCCAAACAACAAAAACCCCACGAGGGTTAGGAGAGGAGAGCATTCTCTCTAACTCCTATATGCCTCATGATCTTTTCCCATAAAATGTAAGAATAGGGAAGCCAAGATGTGGCGTAGTGGTTAAGGCACAGGACTCCCACATGGACGACTGCAATTCAATTCCTGGAGCTGGTGCCTTGAAAAACATGCTGGCACACGTGTGTGCATGCTCAGAATCTTGAGAGAAGAATGGAGAAGGGACTGCAGTGTGACCATTTACCCTGGGGGGTTATTTCTGACATTCCTTCTCACTGTGTGTCTCTTTCTCTTTCTCTCTCTGGTGAGTGTATGCACCCTATGGGAAAAACCTTAAAACTAAAGTGTGAGGGGTCAGCAGATGGTTATGTCACTGGATTCCCATATGGCCAACCAAGGTTCATGCCCCAGGCCTGGTGGCTTGAAAATCGTGCTGGGAGCATATGTATCCGTGCCCAAATCCTGGGAGGAAAAAGAATTGTGGAGTGGTATCCTTCCAGGGGGGGGACGGGAAGGAAGACCTCTTACTATCCCCGTCACCGTCTCTCTCCCCTCTCAGTGCACACATGTGCCTAAGGCAAAAAAATCTCTCAAAACAAAACATGAATAGTGTGTGCATCAAGAAGTCAAAGAAGGGGACCAGCAGTTGGCATAATGGCTATGTCGCTGGACTCTCATATAGCTGACCACAGTTCAAGTCCTGGACCTGGTAGCTCGAATTCACGTCAGGCACATGCGTGTGTGTGCCCAAGATCCTACGAGGAGAATGGAGGAGAAGATACTGCAGAGTGGCCATCCCCCTGGGATTGATTTCTCGCTGTCTGTCTCTCTGTTTCTCTCTTCCTGGCAACCGCAAGCGCCCTATAGCAAAAACCTCTCTCTCTCTCTCTCTCTCTCTCAAAAAAAAAAAAAAAAAAAAAAAAAAGGTCAAAGAAGTTTCCATTTAATTCTTCTAAATGCTCCCATTACATCAATTTCCCATGGTGGTTACCCTTTCTCTAAAATGGGTTTTACCGTGTGCCTGATATGTGTAAGTGTGTCCCATGTGTCGAAACTACTACAGAAGCTTTCTTACCCCTGGGAGGACCTTCATGTTGTGGAGAGCATTCTGTGCTTCTAGTGCAGCTTTACGGGTGTAAAATGTAACAAAACAGCACCCTGAAATAAAGATGAATAAAATCAAACTGGTTCTTTGAAAACAGACAATACTTAGAAGATGTCCCCTTCCACTGACAGGTTGGAACTTAAAAGGTGGGGGCTATGTTCATTAAAATTGGTGGTGGTGGCGGGGCACAGCAGGTAAAAAAGAGATTTTTTTCTATGCATTTTCTTTAGTGTTTCAGTCTCCTCCTAGTTATAGTAAGAGTTTTCTTTTAGGCAAGCTGTGCTGGCACAGTAGTAATGCAACCCTCTATAATGCTGCAACCACAGTGGAAGGTCCTGGGTTAACTTTCCTGTTTCTCTGTGCACATGTAGGGGGCGTGTAGGGGGGCACTGCCTGTGATCCTGGCTGGCCAAGACCGGAGAGAGAGGGTCATAGTGTGAACACTTACTGGAGGTAGCAATCTATCTCTGTCCTCCCAATACACACACGCAATTCATTAATTTTTTAAAAGTCTTCCTTAGCCGCTTATGTAACTCATCAGGAAAAGATGACTTCCCATATACAAGCCGTCTGCCACACCATTTTCCCACCCTCCCTGGAACACGAGGTAGTGTTCTGGGCAAGGCTCAGCCACAAACAAGACAGACACTGGGGTGCTGAGCGGGGCCTGCACTCTGCAGCTTGGAGTCTATGAGAATTCTTTCTTTCCTGCTCCCTCACAGAAAAAACCGTTCCCTACATCACAGCCAGTTTCTATCATACGCCTCAAACATAATGATCACTTACTAAATTGTAAAATGATTTAAGAACAAGAACCTCATAACATCTTTTTTTGGACTCTTGGATCTCATCAAACTGTGAAGTTTCTAACAGCACACGGTGCTGGCCTGAGGCCTATAGATTTTGTGCTTTGAGTCTTTATTGGGAAAAGGAGAGGGGAATTACAACTCTTAAGTCCTGGACTTCAGTGTTCTGATGTTCCCATATTCCCAAGACATATAGTATAGATTTCTTTCAAAACTATGCTGCGGTTAGGATTTTAAATTACTGAACACTTTACTGCCATTTCCAGAAACTATGATACTTCCTATATTTAGTTAACTACACCACAAAGAGAAAATAGTTCCTCTGCTTCTAGAACCTTCACTGTTAAGCTGATTTCAAATATGACAATCACACTTGCTCACATCTGCAATGTAAAACAGCTTTCACAGAAAATTACTCTAAATTGGTCACCTGGAACATAAAAGCATGTCTGGATGTAGAAGGGGAAAGCTCCTGCTTATCCATCATGTCCTGGGAAACTTCCACTCCACTGGGCATTTCTGCAAGTAGCTCAGCCATTCTTGTCCCCATCACTTTGTCAAGTACAGAAAACAGGTTTCTTAAAGTCCTTCCTAACTGATATCCTACCCTGCCAGGCCTCTGTAACACTGACAAGAAATCCATGGGTACACTGAGAGTCTTTGTCTTTTTTCTTTCTTTCAGTTTAATGTAGCCAAAATACTAAAAAATATCTTAAGTGGTAGGTTTACTTTGATTTTTTCTGTTTGTTTGTTTCACTCCCAAGGTCAAATGAGACACTGCATGAAACTTGTCTCTTGAATGTAGAGCTCTTACAAAGGACTGCCCAAGATTCGATTTACAAATGAACTTCATGGTGTTACCTTAACTTTTTATTTTAAAGCCATTAATGTGTTTATATTGGAATATATAGCTACTATAAAAGGCCAGGACAGAGAAAAGACTCATCCCATAAGAGCAACCTGACAATTAGTGTGCACATGACAGCTACTACATATACAAACTTAATTCCTTGAACCCTGTCAAAAACTCAAAGCTGGGACCAAATGGTGATGTAGTAGTAAACCACCATGCTCCTTGGAGGCTGACCCACATGGGCCAATTCTAGGTTCATGTCTACGATTTCCCTAAGTGCTGGGCATGTGCTGCCTATGATCTGGCACTGGCTGAAGCTGAGGTGGACCATGGCGTGTGACCCTGTTCAGAGTACTGTCTGTCTCTCTCACTCATGGAAAAAAGAAACTTAAACTCACCTTTGCTCTGAGGAGGGTTTTGGCTCCTATCCCTTAGGACGTTGATTTCGTAGACAGCACCATACTGTTCGAATAGTTCCCTCAAGTCCTTCTCAGACCAGGTCCTTGGAACCTGGCCCACAAACATCTTGATGGCATCAAGATCTGGTTGGTCTGGGTGGTCCAGGGTGCCGTTCATTTTTTTTGAGCTGCATAAGATAAAATTAAACTTCTATTACGTATTCATATTGCTTCCCAAAGAGAGCTTTCTTTTTTTTCTTTCAAGATTTCAACTACTGAGACCCGCAGATGGCATGATGGTTAACAATGTAACCCATGTAGTAACCTATGTGGTTGACCACATTTCCAGTCCCAGACCAGACAGCTTAAAGAACACATGCAGAACACATGTATATGCATGACCTAAATCTAAAGAAGAAAATGTAGGAGAAAGGATTGTGGTATGGCCATCCCTCCTTGGGGGGTGATTTCTCACTTTCTATCTCTCTCTCTCTCTCCAGCGAGTGCATGCACCCTATAGCAAAAATCTCTTGAAAAGAAGAAAGATCTGAACTACTTTCTAGGAAAATAGGAGAACGAAATCAACTTTCACTACTTTCATTCAATTTACCAGAGTCCAACAGTCCTCTCTCAGCATGGCCATCTATCTTATTAAACGCCAAACTAAAGCCACCATTCTGCACTTTAGCCAAAAGGCTGAGAATTAATCGTCACTTTTTTGATCTGCCAGAGGGAATGTGTGCTTACCAGAAAGAGAAAGAGAGAGAGAGACGGAGAAAGTACCTCAAGTGGGGCATGGTCACATCACAATCCCTTGTCCGACACTTCTCCATCCTGTTGGGATTTTGGGCAAACACATACACATGCCCAGCATGCTTTTTAAGCTGCTGGGGCTGGGACCGGAGCTACTGTTAGCCATGTAGTATCCAGCTCCATTAACTAGCAGGCCACAAGGCCAGTCCAAAGTCCTCATTCTGATTAGGAATGACCTGGGTTTTAACTATGGAATTGACAATGTCACTCATTCTTTGTCTAGCATAAGAATTCGAAGAGGAATTTGAAGGGTAAAGCTCCCAGGATCATGTTTTAACAATGTTAAGTAGTTAACAAAACAGAAATACCTTTTTAAATGCCCATAAAATTCCAAAACAAGTTACTGACTCTTCAACGCACACTGCACACTACCACAGGTAACAGGTAGGCACTTCCTTTCAGCAGATGTTAGAAGAGAAGCACTTGGTTGGTTTCCAAGTGCTTGTTAAGAACCAACTACCAGCTGGCCTTTGAATGCGGCTCTCACACACAACCCCAGTGCTCCTGAACTGGGTCCCTAGATGAAAACAAAGCTTTACCTCCTAAACACCAAGTGACTGTGATAAAAACATGAACACTGGCTTTTTTCTCTTCTTTTGGTTTGTTTCTAAGTTATCCTGTTTACTTCTGTTTCTCTAAAATTTTACCAGTTAGACTGCCTTATCAACTGCAACCATTTTAACTTTTTTTTCCCACAAGGTTTCTGCCACAGGCCATATCCACTTGAAATCAGACCCCAGGGGGCAGAGCCGCACTGCAATCCCTCCTCTTTCATTCTCCTCCAGGAATTTTGGGCGCGCGCGCATGCACGCGCGCACACACACGTGCACGCACACGTGCACACGCGCACCTGGATGAGTTTCAAGCCACCAGTTCCAGGACTCAAACAGCGGTCAGTCATGCAGAGTCCAGCGCCTTAACCACCATGTCACCAGCTGGCTCCTTTTAACCATGTTAGCAGTAAGAAATTCTTCCAGTTCCATCATATTAAACTTGTAATGCTCCCGTTTTAATACCTGCATTCTTACCTTTGCCACCGTCACAAACCTATGGAGATTGTTGCACTGTAAATGCCTCCCTAAAAATGTACCCTCTGTTTCATAAAAGTCCTTTTCTTATCAAAAGTTTACTCTAAGTTTTTGTTTTGCTTTAATTTGACCAGAGAGGGAAAGTGAAAAAGCAAATCACCAGTTCCAGGACTCAAACCAGTCAAGTGGGTGAGTCCAGCATGTTAACCACCACTCTACCTGCTGGTCCCCCAAATTTTATTCTTAACACGTATTTAAACCATTAAAAATTAAATTCCAGGGTTGGCCCATAATGGTTAAGGAACCCAGGCCCCACATTGCTAACAGAATCTTGGCAGCTTAAAACGATGCAGGAAGCATGTGTGTGCATGCCCAAAATTCCAACAGGAGAAATGGAGAAGGGACAGCAATGCGACCATGCTCTATGGTGGTGCTTTCTCCCTCTGGCGCTTGAAAAGGAAAAGACAAACAAAAATACCCCAAACAACTAGCACAGTTAGCTGTCCTACTGGTACTGTCCCAGGTAGCTACAGGAAGATTAGTTTTAAGACCTCCACCTAGATTCCAAAATCCCTTAGATGCTTAAGTTCCTTACATAAAATAGCACAGTACGGTCACCTTCTGTATGTGTAGATGTAAAATCTGCAAATACGAATGGCCAAGGGTATTTGCTGCTTAATAAAGAAACCACAGCACATGTGAAGTTTTCAGGTTCTAATACCAAATCCTAAATAAAATGCTAGCTTTCCTTTAAAAATAATTTTTCTATCACTGCAATCATCTTCTAAATAGTGTTTGAAGAATCTGAAAAATACTGAATCTATGAAAGTAACTCAAGTTCTTTGTTTTAATTTCTAAAGATCTTTTTTTAAGAGTTGTTTGGTTTGGTTTTGTTTTTGCTATAGGGTGCATGTGCTTGCCAGAAAGACAGAGACAGAGAGACAGAAAGCGAGAATTCACCCCCCTCCCTCAAGGGGAAGGGGCAATAACCACAGTGCAATCCCTTCTCCTCCATTCTCCTTTCAGGATCTTGGGCATGCACGCACATGCGCCCAGCCTGAGTTTAAGCCACCAGGTCCAGGACTGGAACCCTGGTTGACTACACTGGAGTCCAGCAACATAGCCATTATGTCAACTGCTGGTCCCACAACTCCTAAATCTCTTATAGCTGAACACTCACTGGGGCCACTCTCATATTACCTTTGCTGAATTTGGCACAAACTCTTTGTCAAAACAGTAACGCAAATGCTTCAGAGACCAACTCTTGTTCTTAATCTGTGAAACCTCCCTGCATTATTCCAAGTCAACTAGTTACATTTGAGGAATCAAACAGTGTTACGCTTCTACTTCCATTACACTACTTAATACCTTTTAGCATAATGTGGCTGTATTATCTCTCCTAACCAGACTGAAGGCAGAAACTTTTTTTTTTTTCGAGTTTTTTTTTTTTGCCTCTTTTTTCACTATAGGGTGCATGCGCTCGCCAGCCAGCCAGCCAGCCAGAGACATAGAGACAGAAAGCGAGAAATCACTCCCCCAGGGAGGATGGTCGCGTCGCAATCCCTTCTCCTCCATTCTCCTCTTGGGATCTTGGGCACGCACGTACACGCGCCCAGCGTTGAGTTTTAAGCCGAGTCCGGGACGTGAACCGTGGTTGACTACGTGGGAGTCCAGCGACAAAGCTATTACGCTAACTGCTGGTTCCCAAACTCTCTTCTATTTTTAAAGACATGGTGGGGCCAGTAGATGGCACAGAAGTTAAGGCACTGGATCCTACATGGCCGACTGTGCAGTTCCAATCCTGGACCCAGTGGCTAGAAAAATTTGCTAGGCACATGTTGCAAGCATGCTCAAAAGCCTGAGAGGAGAATGGAGAAGAGACTGGGATGGTCACCCGCCCTGGGGTATGATTTCTCACTTCCTTCCTCCCTCCCCACCTTTCTCTGGTAGGTGCACATGTCCTATAGCAAAACTTAAAAAGGAATTTAAAAAAAAGGACAGGGCCTGGTCACCATATGCTCTCCCTGCCTCAACCTCCCATACAGCCGGGACTACATACAGGTGCAGAACACCAAGCCCCACTCTTTCAGATAGGGTCTCGCTGTCTTGAAAGGTAATATGAGTGTGGCTCTTGTGAGTGTTCAATTATAAGATTTAGGAATTATGGGACCACACTGGCCATGAGCTTGCAATCCTGCCACCTCGTCTCCAGAGTCACAAGGAAGGAAGGCATGTACCATCCTGCCCAGCTTCTACACTGGGCCAGGAATCAAACATGGGCCTCCCATGTGGCCTTAGGCAGCCAAGTAGCAGCATTAGTCAGCTCACTACTGGCTGGGCCTAAAACTGTTTTACTGCTTACTTGCTCTTGTAGGTAACACGTGGTTTAGTGACTGGTTCAAAGCACCCAAATATGAGGTGGGAGAGATTTTTTTGTTAGTAGGCTCAACAATTCCCCTCATTTACACAATTAACCCCAATAAAACGAATGTTCTACACAGGAAAAGCTCTCAAGAGCAGCTATTATCTCCTGTGATTATTTCACTGCCATAGGATTGATCCTTTTTCCCCCCAAGTGTTTTGGAATAAACTATTTGGTTGATTTTATTTTAATCTGTTAATTTAAAATCATGCATGAAGGATCTTTGCAAAATTATAATGTAGCTACACTTAGATGCTTAATCCTAATGTTCCAACAGAAACCATGCCACCATGATGGAAAAAGCCCAAGGACCAGCGAGACAATGTGTGTCACTCCCTACCACCTATGCAACTGCTGGAATTACATACTTTAATAGTATTCTATTAAAATGTTGCTAAGTTCCCATATTTCTATTCTAAGGAAGGCTAACATAGAACCCCAATGGTGCTGATAATATGTTTTGATGATAAGGAAGGTGACAGCTATTTCTGGAAGAAGGCAAGGGCTTATTCATTTGTATTATGTTGGAGGCAACTGCTTCTAGCTTGTCCCTTCCTTGTGTGTTTGGCATTTCTAAACTTTCTACATCGTTGTTTAGTGCAAAAGCAATATATATGGATTAGTTGATTTAAACATTGAGAGGAGACTCAGGATTCTATTAACTGAAAAATCTCCTCTTCTTACTATCCAAATCCTTCCCTACTTCTTCACCTCAACCTACTACATGAACCATGTATTCACCCTCTTATACCAATTTGATCGCAAGAAGAAATCCCTAGAGCAATCCTATTCAGCGTGGGCAGAGCACCAGAGGCAATCTTCAATCTTCACTCTTAGAAATTCCTACAAAAACTGGACTGAGCAATTTTACATCTGTTCAATCTAATCATAAACACTGAATACGAACTCACATCTTACTTTCTTT